CGGGCCCCTGCCCTGACTGCCAGCTGGAATCAATCCCTCAGGGACCAAAGGGTGGGGCGGGGACTTCCAAGAAGGATTGTGAGAGTGGAGGCAGGGACACGGGGACAGCATCAGGAGGTCAGACACACGTGGGGTCAGCTACAGGTGAGCTGGGGGCGTGGCTGCCCCACTAAGGAGGTGCCAGACGGTTTTCTGTGGGCAATCTACCAGACCAGTGTTTCTTCCAGCTGTACCCCAGTCCAAGGCCCCATCACATCCACCTGGGTTACCGTCCCCTTGGTCAGCCCTGCACCGGGTCCCAGCTCTCGCACTCACAGCCCTCCAGCAGCCCCCACAGCCTGCCACATCTTCACCCTCTGCTCCCCTCCCAGGCTCACCGAGACCCACCTCCCCCCCCTGCCTGCTCCCCTGCTTGAGGCGCTTCCCAGGGCCCTTCCTGACCCCCAACGAAAGGACAAACGTCACCCTCAACCCACCCCGGCCTTCTGCGCCTTGCTGCGCTTCACTACCCTGCATGGCACGTGTTGTTTGTTCACTATCGCCCCCAGCAGAAGGCAGCCTCCATGCTCACCACCGTGGCCTCGGCAACTAGAGCATTTGACAAATACCTCCCAAATGAATGAGGGCATGGACGGCCAGACAGTCACTGAGTAAAGGAGGGAAGGTGAACAGAGAGGGAGGCGAAGGAAGAGGTGAGAGACTGGATGGAGCAGAGGAACCCTTCCTTCCCTTCTTCCTTCCTCCCTCCCCTCCTCCTCCCTCCCTTTCCTCCCTTCCTTCCTTCCTTCCGCCCTTCCCTCCTTCCTTCCCTCCTTCCTTCCTTCCTTCCTTCCTTCCGCCCTTCCTTCCTTCCCTCCCCCTTTCCCTCCTCTTCCTTCCTTCCTCCCTCCCTTCCTCCTCCCTCCCTTTCCTCCCTTCCTTCCTCCCTTCCTTCCTTCCTTCCTTCCTTCCTTCCTTCCTTCCTCCCTTCCCTCCCTTCCTTCCTTCCCCCCTTCCTTCCTTCCTTCCCTCCCCCTTTCCCTCCTCTTCCTTCCTTCCTCCCTCCTTCCCTCCCTTCTTCCCTCCCTCCCTCCCCTCCTCCCTCCCCCCATCCTTCCTCCCTCCCTTTCTTCCTTCCATTCATTCTCTCTCCTGACTCCCCATCTCTCTGCCCCCACCTCCCTTGCCCTCCCCATCTCATCCCCTGCCCTTGTGCATCAGCCTCTAACCCTTCCCACACCACATCTCAGCTCATGTGCTTGCTTCCTAGTTCACTGGAAACACAACAGTCTGAGGGCTTCTCCACCGCCCTGCTTCCTCACCTGCCAGCCCAAGTGCACTCTCAGCCCCTCCACCATTTCCCGCTGAGATCAACAGACAGGGACTCCCAGCATTCTGGATTCCACTTTCCCTCATCCATCCAGAACATCTCTCCAGGACACGCTGCCTACATCATCTGCTCATCCTTGCTTCCTGGACTACCACACAGGCTGTAGTCTCTCTCCTGCCCCTTCACCTCCCTCCTGCCACTGCCCCACTTCTCTGCCTTGCTTTGCTGCAAAATTCTGAAAAGAAGAGCTGCCCACAGGTGCTTACCATGAACCCCTCCTCCATTCCCTCCTCTTGCTTCTATTTAGGAAGAGCTCTTCCTTCCTGAAACACCATCCACTTTCCTCTTTGGGTTCTCCACCCACCTCACTGGCCAGTCCCAATCTACAAACTCTGGTCCCTGGGCTCAGTCATGGGCAGCTTCCCCAGGGATCCTAACTATTCTTGGACTCTAAAGACCATCGATACACCTGTGTCCTGCACTGACACCCCCAGCCACCGCCTCCCCAAATATGTAGATGGCTCACCCCTCATGCCCTTCCAAACTCACCGTCTCACTGAGGGCCTCTCTACACATCCTACATGGAGCAGCAGCCTCCCAGCCCACACTCCGCACTCCTAACTCCCTTCCGGTGCGGGAAATTGAAGCACGGCCTTTCCATTTACGGAGTGACCTTCATGGCATACCTCCCCCCAGGCACTGTGATGTAGCCATGAAGAACACAGGTCAAGACGTGCCCTTGCCAAGCATATATCGAGGGGCAGGAGTGGTGGGGGGCACACTAAACATCACACGTAATGAAGTGTGAATGTTCTAGGAAATCTATGTACACCAAGAAGAAACAGAGGAGGGCTGGGGATACGGTGTCCCCCAGCATCTTGGCCACAGGGCAGGGGATCAGCAGTCTTGTTCACTCCTGTGTCCTCAGCACCTGGCAGAGGCTCAGCAAAGTTTCAATAAATGAGCAATTAACCAATGATGATTAGCAGAGAAAGTGTCAGAAGATGTCAGCTCAAGTGGCAGAGGCACGGACGAGGGGCATACGGAGGGCCTGTGGGCAGGACAGCCCCTCAGCACATTCCCGTGGAGCTAGGACTAGGTGCTATGCTCCCTAATGCCAGGGGTAGACCTAGGCTTGGGGATAAGGGGCTTCCCTGAGGCATGGGTGGGGACCCCATTCCACTCAAGTCTCCTCCTATGACCTGCACACCAGCCTCAGAAGCAGAAGGGACCCCAGCAGGCCTCTAGGGACAAGTCAGGCTTCACCAAGCAACGTGGCCTCCCCAGCCAGAGCCCTTCCCCTCCCCACCAGGGGCCTCCAGCCCTCTGAGCCCCAATTAAGTAAACCCTAATTAAAAACAACAAAGTAATGAGAAGTAATGCCCCTCCCATGGCTATCCACAGGGACCTCAGCTCAGGAGGGGCTGGGTTAGAGCACCTCCCTGGCTTCCCCACTGGTTAGCACTCACACCGAAATGACCTGGGACCTCCTTCTACCACATGCCCACATGCACACACACCCAGGCTCACAAGCCCCCATGAGCCACAAGCAGGAGCACCTGAGCGGGTTCCCTGCATGACTCTGGGCCCACACGTGAGCCCCTAGGGGACACAGGTCACCGTCCCCACCTGAGACACCTCTGGCAATGATGTGCAGAGAGAGGGAGCCTGGAAACTACTAGTGCCAACTCCTGGCCCTCCTCCTACAGACACAGAGAGCAGAGACTCTGCGACCCAGAACAAGGCCAAAAACAGAAAGAAAAGAAGGAAGAATGAGAGAGAAAAAGCGAAAAGACACAGAGAAACAAAGGCATCGAGAGTGAAAGAAATAGTGACAGAGAAGACAAAGAAGTCAGAGAAGGCCAGAAATGCAGAGACGAGGACCACGAAAGTAAGGGAAGGAAGAAAAGAGAGACAGAGACACAGAGAAACCAGGGTTGGGGGGTGGGTGTGAGACGGAGGAGAGAAGTACACGGGAAAGATGAGAGAGTGAAAGAGAGAGAGAGAGAGAGAGAGATGAGGAAACAGAAACAGAAAGAAGAGATGGACAAAGTAGGGGTCTCCAAGGCCAGGGGCCAGAATTAAGGTCTCAGGACCCTTGGGACCCTCTCACTGGGGCTCTCAGGAAGGTGAGTCCATCCTCCTCTGTCTTGTGACCTCCCCTTGAGAAGTCTCTCCCAGCCCTCCCTGAGGGAATGGCTCCCTGGACCTGGAACCAGGACGAGCTTATCAGAAGACCACGAGTCCTGCCAAGGAGTAGATGGGGGTTCCTCTGCCTCCCTGCCTTGTTCCTAGAAACCCAGACACTCAGCACCATGGACAGCAGACTGGGAGGCAGGGTCCTGCCACCCAGCGGGCTCCCTCCCGCAGGTCGAGCACAGAGCACTGCCACTTCAGTAACCCATTAATTCAGCACTCTCTGACCTCTCCTGGGGGCCCGCCCCAAGCTAGGCTCTGGGGACACCCTGAAAAATAAGACACCGTTCTTGTCTTCAGGGGCTCACGTCTAGAGGGAGGGAGCAATGTAAACAGCCAGTGATGCTCCCAGACACCCTGCCCAGTGCCCGGTGGACCACAGGGAGCGCCCCGCCCTCTGAGGGCCACGCTCACCACCAGCACCCCCACCAGCATCATCAGTGGGACCGAGAGTCTTGCTTGGTTGCCCAGAGGCTATTTAGCCAAGTTCATGTCTTCTCACACACAGGGAGCCCGTGGAGGCTTGAGCCCCAGGTCTGGGGCTTCCGTGGTCACCTCCTCCCTCCTCTGCCTTCAGCCTAAACCACCTCTGCACAGGTGGTCACCTGCACCAAGGCAGGTTAGGGGTCGCTGGGCAGGGTGGAGGCCTTGGCCACAATCACCCTTCCTTGGGAAGGAGTGTTCTGGGCAACAGTAGGGCCTCCCTCCTCCTCTCTGATTGGGGCTCTGAGCCTCTCTGGGACCACAAGGCCCCAGGGAAGAAGAGACTGCAGTCTCTGGCCTGGGGCGGGGCCTCTGGGGCCTGGGCTATGCAAACAGGTCCTGTGGAGCAAATTCCCTAAGCTCTCACCCACCCCACTCCCAGAGCAGCCTAGCTCCAGCCTTCAGCCCGCTGGCCAGAGAAGCAGGGCAAGGGCCCTACTGTCAGGCAGTCGGAAAGACCGAAAGACCTAGCCTCCAAAGGTGAGGGGCTCAGTGACGACGAGCAGGGTGCTCTGCCTGCAACCCACCCCAGCCCACCCCCAAATCAACTTCGAATCACAAATTGTCAATTACCAGGGTCCATTTGAGGAGGACAGTGGTGGGCAGGACACACTGATTAAGCACCTTCCTGGAGCCAGAAACCGTGGAAACACACAACGTTCACGCGCTCGTCCAAGCACAGCGCCAGAGCTCTGAGAACACACTTCCAGGCAGCTCTTCAGTCAGGAAACTGCCCAGAGCCCTCCCTCTGCCCTGGGAAGCCCCTCCCCCATGGGGACCCAGCCACAGAGCCAGTGGCCCCACGCCTGTGGTCTGTAAGAGCGCTCCACCTGAGGATAGAACGCTGTACGTAGGTCCTTCAGCAAAGACGGCCGCTCACGGGTAACAGCCCGGTCCCACACCATCAGGCATTTCCTCACACGGCCACCAGCACTCACAACAGCTTGGTGTGGACACTGCTGGCTCACCCCTAGCCCCAAGCAAGGGGACACCCCAGGTCCTGGCCACCTACCCTGTGAGAACCACCACAAAGTCCATGACGTTCCAGCCGTTCCGCAAGTAGGAGCCCTTGTGGAAGACGAAGCCCAGGGCTATGATCTTGATCCCCGCCTCAAAGCAGAAGATGCCAATGAAGTAGGGCTCCGTGTCATCCTGCGAAGAGGCAGAGAAAGGGTTGCCACCACCCCCAAGTTGGGCAGGTCGAGGCAGCAGGCAGGGACACTGTCCCAGCTCTGACCACCCCCCCCCTCCACTCAGCCTCACCACCTACAGACTTCACAGGAAACGTGGCCCTGCCCCCATAGTCAGTGGCACCCCAGCCACAACAGGGCGGTGGGGGGGGGGTGTCCTGGGGTCTCTCACCCCTCGAAGCCCTGCAGCAGGAGAAGCAATGTTGACAGCACTTGTGGGCCTTTTCTGCAATCCATCCCACACCCCACGCACTAAAGGTATTATCATCCTGACTCTAAAGGAAACGGGCCCAGACATGACAGCTTGTTGGAGACTCACAGCTTGTTGGAAACCAAGCCATATTCAAACCCAGAGGTGATCGGTGTGATCCTGGGCTCCAATCACTTCAGAAGTTGCCTGGATAATGCCCCAATTCCTGGGGTGCAGCCCAGGACCCATTTATTCATTCAACACACATCTTCTGGATAATAATCATAACACACAAATGCAAATCTTGGTGGGGGCAAATACAGCCCAGACCCCAGGGAGCCTCTGGAGAGTAAGGCAGACAGCGGGGCAGCGAGGACAGGAATTCCAGGTGGAGGGAACAGTGTGAGCAAAAGAATGTTGTCACCGCATCTTATCACTCAGCCACGAGCATCAACTGGGGCCAGGTCTGTCTGGTGCCGAGCAAGGTGGGAAGCAAGCTGTACAGGGCTCGGGGAGGAGGACGTCACATGGAGACATGCACAGATGGTGTCGTAAGTGACCAGGGGCATCGCTCACTTGGGGACGGTGGCATAGAGAGCCTTGGTGCAGGTGAGCCCCAGGGAACTGGACCACGGGGGTGCACTGGGAAGGTCAGCATGGGAAACGGCCTGAGTGCAGACCAAGGACACCTGTACGCCAGGGCTGCTGTTATAAAAAAGCAGATGAAGGAGTGGTGGGAAGGGCCTGCCCTTAGGGAGCCAGAGGAGGAACTGCCCTATAGAAAGCGGCTCTGCCCTGCCAGAAAGGGGCCAGGGTTGCAGGGCCTGGGGACTGGCCATTTTGGGGCTGCAGGGGAGGAGAGCGCCAGACTGGCTCCCTGTGGCTGCTGTCAGTTCCCACTGAGGGCCAGCAGCCCGTGTCTCCCCCCGCCACACACAGGAAGTCTGGTCCTCAAGAGTCCTCCCCATATGACCGGGAATACCCTCAGCCGGGGCCTCTCCGGCTGTGCCTGGCAGGAGCTACCTCCCCCAGGGGCCCCGTCAGCCCTGTGCCCATCACCGCCCAGCTCTCCCATCTTGGTACCCAGATGCTGACTCATGACCGAAATCATCCTCTGAAAGCTTTGGGTCTACTTTAGTTGGAGGGTCCTCTCTCCCCCAAACGAAGGGGCTGTTGACCATCAGCCCCAGGGAAGGCACTGGCTCCAACAAACACGTCTTCACAGAGAGCTTCCAGGCAGACGAAAGAGCAGGCCCAAGCTGGGAGATGGGACAGGGCCCACGACAGATCCTTCTCTTCAGGGCGAGCTCGGAAGGGGTGAGGTGGGACTGCAAGCTAGCGGTTCTGGCCAAAGGCCGCGCAGGAGGTTGACGGGTGGCCGAGAAGCAGAACCCCAGAGACAGAGAGCTGTGAAGGCCCCACCCCACTCCAGGCTGGCAGACGGTGAAGAGGCTGACCCTTTGTCACCCGGCCCCCTACAGGTCCACCAGCATCAGCACAAGCCTCCCGGTCTGAACCCTGAAGCCGCCACAGCCTCTCCTCTCCAGGCCCCAATCCGTGTTCCAGCCTTCTGTCTGTCCTAACGGCCCGAAGACCTGTGTCTACACACAAGACTAGGGTCAGCAAGGGCTCCCAAGGCCTCTAGGCACATTCTGTCTGTTCTCCCGATAGCCCAACCCCCCTCACCACAAAGCAAATCTTCCCTCATTGGGGAGGCAGGAGCTCAGACTTGCCTGGAGGCCCGGCTGGCCCACTCAAGCCTGTCACCCAGCAGGGACAAGCGTGAGCCCAACTACTGTGCACTGGTCTCCCTGCCCCCTGCCCCCACCATCTCCTGGCCTGCCTCCCTCTGGCCCTACCCCTGCCGAACTTCCCTGGAGATATGGCCACGCCCTGTGGCCTGGCAGAGGCTCTCTGCTCTCACTTTCACCCTCTGCTCTAGCCCCCAGAACACACACTCAGCACAAGCACACACAACACCAGCGTGCACAAGGGGGCCACAGGAGGCAAGTGACCCTGTCTGGTTCCTGGTGGCGCAAGACTCCCCCACAGGGACCACACCCGCTCTTGCCTGGTGGCGTGACTGTGCTGCCCTTCACACCCCTCCTCTCTCACAACCAAAACCCCCCGGCCTTCTGAGCGCCTGCACAAATGGCTACTCCAGAAAACCTCCCACCCACTGGCTCTCCACTTCCTTGCCTTCTTTTGGTGCCTCGCAACACTGTGAGCACCCCCAGGTCAGCCTTACTCCGTCTCCCCTTCCCCAGCCCTGGGCCTGTGATGGTGGCAGTGGGGGCTCAGGGCCCACACTAAGCACTGAACAGGCCCCGTATCACCTCCTGTCTATCTCCACTGACGTCATAGAAAGAAGCCACAGAGACGATCAATCACTTGCCAGGCTACAAAGAAAGACGGATTCTCCTCTTGATGCCCAGTAACCCCAGGAGAGACTGCTGGGGCAGCTCTTCAGCCAGGCCCCAGGTTCCCTCTCCAGACCCCTGTACCTGCTCTTTCCTTCTCTCTGTTCTGAGGCTCAGTCTCTCAGGCCTGGGAGCCCACACCAAGCCCAGGCAAAGGGATCAGGGCAGCAGGAAAGACTAGGGGCTAGGGGACAAGCCACACCTTTGAAATGGGACTCGCTGCTCCAAATATCACCCTTCCTCTGCCCCAGTCCCTCCAGAGACCCTGCCCTGGCATCCTGACTCTCATGTGCTCCAACAGGGGACACCACAGGGACCTGTGCGGCTCTTGGCAGGAGTGGCTGAAAACGATTTAGGATGTTTGGGGAGAAAGCTTGGGAAGGAGGGCTTCCCCTGGGTAGGGGTGGCCCCATGGAGAAGGTATTCCAAGCAGAGCCAGGAAAGACAACTCTGAGGGAAAGGAGGACAGCCCCTAGACCCAGGACCGTACCACAGGGCCTACCACAGCCTACCCATCGTGAGGGTGCTCATAGAGCCTGACATTCCTGACCCTGGACCACTGTGAATGCCACTCCCCTACCCCAGGTTACACTAAGTTTCTTAGATCAAGGCTTAAGGTTGTAGAACTGGACAACCCTTTTAGGGTGTGGGGTGGCTAGTGGCACAGGGCAAAGTAGCTGTTAGCTAACGTGGCCTCTCTCAGGCCTTCCTTCCCACCGTGGGCTGAGCCGGATACCCCAGTCCCCCAGACCCTGAGGGAGGTGTTAGCTGCCTGGGTTCTCACCTTTTCCTCCACCAAAAGGAGAGGAGAGCTGCCCGGATGTCCCTGTCCAAGGAAGCTAAGCTCAGCCACAGATCCTAAAGGGTCCTGGAATCGGATGAGCCACCGCCACCCGCAGCCCTGCCCTCGGCCCCGCCGCACTCACCAGCCGCTCAGACATGGGTGTCTTGTCCCCGTCAGGCAGGTGCTGCTCCAGTGCCAGCACAATACAGTTGGCGATGATGGTGGCCAAGATCATGTATTCAAATGGAGTGCGTGGGTTAAGGACTGGCCAGGAGGTGCCAAGGGGGGGGGGAGGCGGGGAAGCCGAGGCCCACAGCGCGCAGCAGTGCAGCAACCACAGCGAGGCCACCTCCAGAGGGCCTGAGAATAACCGGTCAGAAGCCCACCCTTCCCTCTCTGCCCTCATCCTCGGCGGGATGGGGGGGGTTGGGGATGGGAGTGGGAGGCGGGGGGGCCGACCGGAGGCGGAGCCTCTGCAGTCTCGGCAGCCAGCCCCTCGGCACGTCCAGACGGCCGTCAGCACCGCGGACAGCGCCCCAGCCCCGCTCCTCCGGGCGTCCTCGACCCGAGGGGAGGGGACTGCGCGCCCCTAGCGCGAGGCTGAGGAAGGATCCTGCGCAGGCGCACACTCTCACCTACAGATACACGTAGCCACATGTGCCTACACAGGCACTCGAACATACATGTACCGAGTCCCGAACGCACGCACGCGCAACGCCGGGTTCATGCTATGCTATGCCCGCACACACACGCAAGCACCTGCAGCCAGGCACGCGCCCGGGCTCGCGTCCACACGGGTGCTCACACCTACACAGACACGGATTCGCCCTCGTGTGCCCTCCAGGCTGGCCGCGCGCTCTGCACCCAGACCAAGGGAGCGAAGGGACGAGTCCAGGGACAGGGGGCTCCGCCCAGCGTCCGTCCCGCTCCCGCGGCCGCCACCACCACGACCACACGCGCGCGCGCGCGCGCGTACATCCTCAAACACACACGCACACGCGGCGCGCGAAGGCCCCCGGAGCCCCGCCCCGCCCCCTCCTCGCCGCCTCTCCCCAGGTCGCACCCTCCTCCCGACCCCGGGAAAGATGGCCACTGGGCGCCGCACGCGACCCGCCCCAGCCCCGGCCCCCCCCGCCCGGGCTGCCCCCTCCCCGACGCGCCGGAGCGCGGACACCGGACGCCGCGCCCGGCCCCTGTCCCCGCGACCTCGGACGGTCCCCCGGCCCCTGAGCGGCCCGGCCCCCCGGCAGGATATGGCCACTCGGTGATGCGCTTGGCGTATTTGCGGACGACGTTGTCCTCGCTGAAGACGAAGAGCGAGCGGTTGACGGTGAAGCAGTTCTGCTTGACCGGGATGGGGTTGTAGAGCGCCATAGTCCGCGCGCGCTGCGCGATCGACTGCTTGTAGAGGACCCGCTGGCCCGGCTGCAGCCCCCCGGGGCCCGGGCCGCCCGCCCCGCCGGCCCCGCCGCCCCGAGCCCGCTCCCCACCGGCGCCCCCATAGCGGCTGCCCAGCT